ATTCTAAGAGACATATTTACATGGAAACATGAAACTTCTGAAGACCTTAGAGATGGATGGGAATCATCTAACTGAAAACAAGTATTTCCCAATCACTCAGTCTTCTTTCATAAGAAATAATAAAAAAAATTTGCACAGTCAGCATACGAATTGTCTGACATACTTCAGATATGGTCCTTAGGGTGATATAAGCTGTGTCTTAGAAGTGACTCTGTCTCCACTAGCTTTGAAAGGAGCCAAGGATCACAAGATCAGAGGTGGATATTTGCTCTGTACCTCCCTGCAGCCATGAAATGACCCTTACCACTAAAGTGCTTATTGTTTCTTATGGCTTTATGCCATTTTCTTACTTTTTTTTTTATATAATTCCCTTCTCAGTTCAGTGTTCTTTTCCTGAATGTTGAGCTTATTTCCTAGTTTATTTCTAGTTTCTCTGGGCATTAAACACCATCCATGTTGAAATCACTAGTTGCCCAAGAGTGAATATTTGGAAAACATTTGTCATGTTTCTATAAAGAGGTGCCCAAATCTCCTTTCAGAACTTGGCCACACATTCATCATGCAGGGAACATGCTGTCTGCTCTGCCTACAGATAATTTGTATTGTGTTTTTTTAAAAAAAAAAAAATAAAATTTATTTTTTATTTTTTATTTATTTTATTTTTAATGCAATTTGAGAACTTGAAGCAGAGAGTCAGACCCAGCAAAAATTGTAGAGAAACAATTAAAGAAGACACCATCACATGCATAGAAAGTGTCTGTAGTACCAGGAATGGTTCCTTCTCCCTCCCTTGGACTGGGCAGCCCCAGCTCTGCACCAGCTCAACACCTGCCTGCAGTAGGAGCTTGATGTGCATCAGAATCCTTTCTTTTCCCTCCCTCTCTCCCTTTCAGCCTTCAGCACAGAGCAAATACAAGCACGTGGCTCAAACAGGAGCTGAAGTGTGCTCTGAACAGGTCACTGATCCCTAGTGGCCCTTCAACATGCACCAGCAGGCACGCGTAGATTGAGTCATCATGCTCTCCCTTAACTGCCACAGCTAATATTTTCCACTGCTATGTTTTGTTGTGTGATAATCTACAGGCTATTCACTTAGTGTCTGACCAAAAAAATAGACAACAAAAACCAAACAATGAAGGGTGGACAGGAGTTTGTGTGTGTGTCCCTGGGAGGAGGGACAGAAAAATAGCAGAATTCTGTAGGGCAATTGATAACTTCCTTGGTAGCTTGTACACATAGTTATCAGTTGTCCATATATGATGCCAATTTCTGTTCTGGAAGAAACATTCTGCCCATGCCCAAAGTCTGTTTCTGTGTGTGTGCAAGTGACTTCAAATATCTGCCTATGTTTAAGACTTCCTTATTAAGCAACCATACCTGTGGTTCAGTTGCATATTTTTAGTTCTGGTACATGGCTCTACATAATAATCATGTATTACAGAATATTAAGAAATTTTTGCAAGACAAGATACAAAATAAAATCACTTTACATAGAGACCTGGAAAGGGCTTAAATTGAAAAAATAAAAAAAATAAAATAAAATAAAAATAAATAAATCAGACCTTGCAAAATGATTCTGATGATGAAATGAGTCTAAAAGGTCAGGGCTGTAAGCTGTGTTAGAAATGATGGAAGAGCATTTCTGTTAGATAGGTTTAATCATGTGCATTTGCAGACCCTGTTCCCTAATCCTATGTCACAGCATTAACCCAGACCATGCCGTGCCTGCTGTTATATTTCTATCACTGCAAGAAAAAAACAGAAACTAACTGTGTCTGTAGTCAGGCCACATCCATGTGAAGAAATATGTTATTAAAATGGATCTGGTTTTCTTGTCCCTCAGTAGGTAAAATGAAATAAACTTGAGCCCGGTATATAGACAGTGTTCACTCAGAACAAAACTACATTGGAGAACACCGGACTTTGCTTGTGACAGACTGTTGAATCATACTTTATTTAACTATGTATTTAATAATCTTTGTAACTCTTAACACCATCTGCATGCTGCCAGACCTACATTCAAAATTTTTTGTTAAAACTTGAACTTCCCTTGTAGTCCTGCAATGTACCAGAGAGAGGATATTATCTCCAGATTTTTAAATCCAAGTTATAGAGCTAGTGGCTTTTTCTCAACAGATGACATATATTTTCTATGACCATTTCTTTTAGAAAGCATTTAAGCAGAATGCTACATCTTCCATTCTAGTACTGGAATTGGTAACTACTGGCTTTTCAGTAATAAAACAACTGATAACCATTTGTTGGCATAGTTCCAAATAATGACATAGTAATAAATGATAACTAGCAATTTCATTTTTTTTCCATCTTTCTCAGCTGTGGCCAATACTTTACTTTAAAGTAATCACCTTTTTTTTTTTTTTTCTATTAGTGTCTGCCACTTTTGTGATTAAGAATATCTATTAAGATGAAAAAATAATTTGTGGTTGTTTGTGAAAAGATTGTGCTGATATGGGGAAAAAAAAAAAAAAGGGTTTTTTGAAAGCAGGAGCTGTCCTGTTCAGATTTGCATTTTTCTAGGGATCAACAATATCTGCAAGGATGTTTCTGAAAACAGATATTCAGTAAATGTCTAATAAGATAATAAACTACAGCCTCTATTGATTTACAGACCACTTATTGTTTCTGGTGATTTCACAGCTAAAATGACTCACTACTTAAATGAACCAAATGTCTCATATTGCTGGAAGGTGTTTTTTGTTTTTGTTTTATAATATTATTTTTCCCCAGACTACTAAGTCAAAATGTCCTCTGTCTGCTGTAAATTTTTCCATAATTGATACTGGCAGGATGAATGCTTGAGATTTGCAAACAACAAATGTAAGGGAGCATCACTCCAGGTAGCAGCCACTACCTTAACTCACTGTTATTCTTAGAACAGAATGTAGTGGAACAGAATAGTTCAGTTGGAAGGGACATATAAAGATCAACAAGTCCAACTGCCTGACCATTTCAGGGCTAGACAAAAATTAAAGCATATTATCAATAGGCGTGATCCAAGTACCTATTGAACTGACAGGCATGGAGCTTCAAACATCTCTGTAGCAAGCCTGTTCCAGTGTTTGATCAAACTCATAACAGACAAATCTTTCCTAATGCCCAGTCTGAACCTCACTTGACACAGCTTTGTGCCATTCCCACATGTCCTGACACTTGCGCCCAGGGAGAAGAGACTGGCACCTCCCTCTGTTCTTCCCTTCCTCAGGATATTGCAGAGAGTGCTGAGGTCACCCCTCAGCCAGTTCTTCAAGCTATGGAGTCTCCCTGCGCTTTGACTCCTGAGTGGTTTGGAACCTCTCTCCCTCCCTGTTCTGTGCTGGCTTAGTGTGGATCATCACCAGATGAGAGGGTGTTCCCCTACACAAGAGTGAAGCCTTAGGTTCAGAGTGGGTACCTGACTCCCCTGGGCAGCATCTTTAAACTGCTGTGTTATACCACTGAAAAACTTCACATGCTTCAGCTGAAGGTTTCTCATGCCAGCTATCAGCCTCACGCTAAATTTCAGTGGGCAATTACAGCTAATGACTTTTCCACAAATGTGGCAAAATTACATTATTTCTTCTGCTTTTAGTTTCTTAAGCCCATTTCATGTACTGCTGCCAGTACATTGGAAGTATCAGCCTATGACCAGTTACAAGCTTTTGGTTTTCATCGTGAAAGTATAGCAGCTACAATGCAAAAGACTAATAAATCACCGGGGTAAGATGTTAATTTACATATATTCCATAGTTTTTTTTCTGTTCACCACCTGTTAATTTTCTAGTTTAGTTTATTTTTATTGTATTTTCTGTCTTCTTTTTTTTTTTTTCTCCTATTATTATTTTTTTTCTATTGGTTTCAGTAATGCTGTCCAGAGCAGAAATAATGGATAACTTTCTAATGGAAGAAAAGATCAAATATGCAGTCTTCAAATGAGTCAATGGGCAGAAATCAGTTTAATTGAATTATCTTCATAGAGGTTTGTTAGATCAAAATCTATTCAAGACCATATGACTAAGAAAAAGGAAAAACAAACAAACAAACAAACCACCCTGAGTTGATTGTGTAAATTTTTCATAAGAAATTGTCTGATCATCTCTAAACATAACATCCACATAAAACTTTGTTTAGATTAGGACTCTGATAATTTCTAAGATTCAAAACAATTAATTCATATAAGTTTCATTTTGAGTGATAAATTTCTAAATGTTGTCCAAGCCTAATACTCCGAGATAGTACTGAAATTGCATGCTAACATCTGGCAAGATTTACTTTGAGCTAAGAAATGGTATGAATTTTGCAAAAACAGAAATAATCCCCTTTAATTTGCACTTATAAAAATTTCAGAACACACAATGGTTGGATATTATTGAGTCTTCTTTAGACTTAATTTTTATATGTGCAAGCACACTGCAACATTATTGTTTGCCAAATTTACAGTTTGTGGATAATTTCTGTTCTGCACTCCGACTGTTTATGAAGTTACCAGGGGACCTCTTTATACTGACACATTTAATCACCCTAATTAATTGATGCAAGCTGCACGGGCACTGCACAGCAGGCAGAATGAGGCCAAGCATACTGGGTCGAGGAAACTACACTGTGAGCAGAAGGCTGATCAAGGTCCCTTTGGTTGATCCACCTCTACCTAGGTGCATGCTCAGTAGGATTTCATTAGAAAGAGTACCAGGGCAGGAAATAGGGTGGCAAATTACAAACTCTGCCTCTTAATGGAAATATGGAGTATCTACATGACATGTGAAGGCGTATTATGAATATATTCTGTACACGACTTCCAGTGCACAAAACAGCTCTTCTCTACGCAAGTCTGTGTAACAGGTCCAAAAAGTGCTTAATTTTATCAAAACCATGTTGTTTTTTTTTTGCTACTTTTTTGGTCTGCTGACTTTTCAGGGAAAGAACATCTGGCAGCACAAGAGGACTGCAGTCCAGCAACAGCTACATGAGGATGTTGAGGATTGTTTTACTGGGTATATTTCTTAAAATGGATAGTGCATTTCTATCTAAAATCCTTGTGAGAGGCAAAGACAGAGGAATAAGATGACAGGCTGCCAGATAAATATGCCAGTCAGGATTTAAATGGGCTTTTTCTAATTGTTAGAAAGCAGGTTATGAGGCAAGACAAAGCCACGGCTTAATATTCTTTGTGATAAAAGCAGAAAGTAGACATACCACCATCTGGTTTCCTCCATATAGCCTTTTTTCTCTATTGGTCAGTGCATCAAGGGCTGTTTAACAAGGAATTTGAGGATGAGAAAAAGTAGGAGCTTTCTAAGTGTTAATATCTTCTTTGGGGCTGGGGGCACTCAAGCCTTTGGGAAATTAATACTAATGGTAGAACAAGCAAGTAAAGGTCCCTTAGTATTCTGTAATTATTTCTTCCTGTTAATGTAATTACTAAATACTAGTAGTGCCTTGAAAAGGAGTGTTTATATCCATGCTAATCATTTGCCATTTTAAAATGTTCCACAGCCAAACTTCTACAATCCTAAACTTAAAGTTACGGTAACTTTCAGCACCCAATGACAATTTTGCCAGTAGACAGTCCCAGCAGCGTGTGATTTGTGGTGTAGGGACCTCATGCCTGAGGTGGTACTGTTGAGTCTTCCTGGATTTATCACCCAGACTGAGTGTTCTTTGGAACCCTGCAAAATTTTGGTATTCACGATATAATGCATCAAGGAGTTCCACACACCAGCTATGTACTGTGCAAAATAAAGTGCCCTTTCCTGTTTGTTTATTCTGAGGCCGCAACATGATATTTCATTTGAAAATCCAATTCTTATATTGTGAGAAACACTAAATAATCAACCCCCATCCACCTTTTCATGTTCTCTATTCTTTTCTCAATTTTCTTTTTCTATCAATCCCTGATGTTTATTTTTCTAAATGCCACTGAGCACTGGTGCTTAGTAGAAGTAGTTTTCATAAAGTTCTCAGTCATAACTCTCTTTCCAGAGCAGTAATTCAGTCAGAAACAATCACTGAGTATTTAAAGCTAGTACAGTTTTTCTCCGCATATGGCAGTTTACATCAGTATAGCACTTCATCTGTTCAGTGACTCAGCTTCATGAGGTTGTTCTCCAGTACTTCACAGTCAGCTTTGTTGATTTTGAGTTATTCAGCACAGTATAATCAACAAACTTCACTCTTGACCATCTTTTTCAGATCATTTATTAATATGATGAATAACACAGTGCCTTGCACTGATCCATAGCGGACTTTTCTGCTGAACATTTTCCATTGGAAAAAAAAATATAATTATTTTCTCCTGTTCTTTATTTCCTGGCTCTAATCAATTATTTATCCTGTGAGGATCTGTTATTGCAAGGCAGCTTACTATCCTTAAGAGCCTTTGGGCTAGTCAAAGCTTTATGGAAATCCAAGTAGGCTTTATCAAATGTATCAACCCTGACTACATGACATTGTCAAGGATCTTTCATAAATTATTCAGGCTTGGCTTCTGACCAAGATAGCTGTGACAGCTTGTCCCAGATTGTTATTCCTCTGTATGTCCACTACTGTATTCTCTAGTGTAATTTCTACCAATCTATCCAGTGTTGCAGAATGGACTTGTTGGTTGGATTAAATCTGCTGGAAAGGGTTTCTGTCTGCATCAGTTACAAATCGCTTCTTAATGGATGTAGTGAAAGATTTCCTTTTCTGAGGTCCTTCTGTAGGTTAAGGACTGGAGAATACTGCTTCTACTCACTGCACATCCTTCTGGTAGCAAAGCCATCTTGGATAGAGATGGGAGCAGCCTTCTCCCTTAGTCTTATTTCCCACCTCTGTAGCACATGAGGTTGTTGGCCTGTAATGATCCACAAGAAACTCTTGGCTAAAAGCTGTGTAGAGCCTAGTCTACATATTTTCACTCTGCATCCATATTGGCAGATATATCATCAGTTATTGACTTGCTCATAACTAGTTATTGCAAAAAGCAATTTGACCACTAAACTTTATGAAAACAACTCAGAGAAGTAAATATTTTTACGGTGTTCAATCTCTAGGAATGATAGCTGACCAAAACAAAATCAATCAATCAATCAAACAAACAAAAAAGATTTTAGAATCATTAATTTTTTTTTAGAAATGTAACTTTGATACTAAAAATAAGTGGGTGCATTCAGTGAAAAAGCAAAGGTTTGTGTGAAGGAAACTGGGTGGGTGTGCTTTGGTGAAAGCTTGGCTTCCTGACTGGCATAAGACACTGTAATTTCACCTCTTAGTTAACTTCGTGCTATATCCTGTATATACACAAACCCTAAGTCTACATACTTCATGTTACATCTGTGGAGATGCTTAGCATTAATGAGTGTCTCAGCGTGTTCCCGTTTGGAAAGCAAAGGAGCACCCCTGGCAGGAGATGGCGGAGGTCCTGCTGAGCAGCATGGGCAGGGGTGTGGATCTGCTGCTTTGTACCTGAGTGCCCTGAGAACATCCCCGTGCTACGGCAGCAGTGTACAGTCATCCCTGCTTCCCACGTGCACACAAAGCCACCCTAAACTTTTCCTGAAAAGTTGTTGTACAGGAGCTCCATCTAGTGCTGACAACGTTTTTTATTCTGACTCCCAAAGGCAGCTGGATAAATACACCCACATGGAGGCAGCCAGTTTAGGAGGCTGAATTTGCAAATGCTCACCCTGCTTTCCGGAATCAAAGGGATCCTGCTTAACATATGGAAAGTGAGATTGAAATTAATATTGGTGTTTTTTGTTGTTGTTTGCTTGTTTGTTTTTGTACTGCTGGTATCATTGGGATGCAAAAGGGAATTCTATTTAAGCCACTGGGAATAAATTGTTGTTTGGTCCATGGACAGGCATGTTAATAGCACAAAAGCATAGTACTGCTCAGAATTAAGATCACCATTAATGTACAACATACACACATTTAAAAATTCAGTAACAGAGGAAATAAAGAAAAAAAAAAAAAAAGTAATTCTTTTCTATTAAAACTAATGCATACTCTCTATACTGAAGATATCACCAAAGACAAAAAGAAGGACATATCATACAAAGGAGGATACAGAGAAATGTTTGCTGAGAAAAGATCAGGAAAGGTTTACTAAACAGGGCCAGTAATGTTTCCTGTCAGATTTGTCCCAGCGGGCTTGGATGCAGCAGTGGTTTCTTTCAAGCACCATCAGAGTTACACTGTTACTCCCATTAGAGATAAGCAGGAAGAGGATTCTTCAAGGAAGAGAAAGATTGCCTACTCTATTGGACTCGTGAATGCAAGTCATATAGGCAAAAGAAAACAAATTATTGCAGGTATTAAATAAATAACTATTGGTTTATTTACTTATATTCAGAGTGAATTGTTGATATTTGAATTGGCCTGTATTATGAAAGACTAAAAAGGCAGCATTTAAAAACTGGCTGCAACTGCCAATGTGTAGCACTTGTGGGAAATATTTTCTCAATTTCAAAGCGGCAGAAGTTCTTTTAATGATTTTAAAGTCAAAGGAAATGGTGGTCTGATGACTAAAATGTTTGAGCATTCAACTAGAATAAGAATCAGGAAATGCAAGAATATTTTATTTATATATATAATAATGTTTTATTCTATGTTTATAACAAATTATTAATAGGAATATCCAATTACAGCCAATTATGTTTTGGAAGCACGTTCCATTCTCAGCTGCTTCTGTGAGTTATAAGATGTCTTAATGTGATTTGTTTATTCACTAAAGTATAGATGGTGAACTGTAAAGTTCAAACTAGTCAGGCTAGTACTGGTTAGCCGTCCACTAAGACCGATGTTCAGTTTGAGTCTATTTATCTTTGCTCTGGAAAGTCTTCTGTGTTTATCAGTTTTTCTTTTTGACTCTGGAAATGTTTGGGATCTTCTACTAAAATCGGTCAGCAGATAGAGTTTGGCCCATAAAACAAGTATAATCTGTTTTGTTTTGGAGGGAAAGAGAAATAGTACATAATATACTAGCAGCCAGAGGGCAAGAAACAGCAGCCACTTATGTCTTCCACACTCCAGACCTGTTTGCCTTCTCTCTGAATGTTTGGTTTTGCTCCTCTTCACTTTTCTCAGAAAAGGAAAAACAATCAAACAAACAAACAACAACAAAAAACAACACCCAAACTTGATTAAAAATTTAATTTGCGAAAATCCATACTCACAACCCCTTTCTTCTTTTAGTACTATATTAATGGTTGGACTTAATAATCTTAGAGTTTCTTTCCAACCTAAATGATTCTAGTATTATACACTTAATCCACCAGCCTTGGCAACTGTGGAAGTTGATAGAAGGCTCTGTTAGTTGAGCTGTTTGTTTCACACACACTCACACAAAATAATAAATAAATAAAATAAAACTTGCAAAGTCTTGCTGGAGATTATATTTGAGATAGAGAGTTTTTTCCTTATCTTCATGATAAGAATGAAGGGTATGTTATAACACTCAGAGGTAGAAAGCACAATAAAATAAAATAAGTTTTGTTCCTCCTCCCCCCCCCCCCTCATTTTTTCCCCCTTTATGATATGCCTCGATAACTTCTGAGTTTTTGGAAAAGCACATCTGCTCTGGGGAGGCCAATTTTCAGGTCAACAAATGTTGAACCTCTCTTGGCCCTCTCCCCATTTCTGCCCAGTGATTCAGCTTCAGGAATATTCTGCTTTTTATCATCATAATATGTAAGAAGACCTTACCTGTAAGAAGGTCTTTGATGGATGCAACTGCTGCAGTGGAAATTACTATATTTCTGTGGAAGAAATACTTTGATCTTAATGCTACACAGAGATCAGTAGTTTTGCTTATCAGTATTAATGTAACTAGTACATAAAAGGTGGAAACACAGGTGATAGAAAAGCTTGCTCCATGTGCAATCTCATGAAGTCTCTGATTCTGTAGCAGCTGTTACGCAAGGTACTTTGGCCCAGAGCTGAAAAAATTTTACCTGAAGATTAAGCTACTATTAGAAAGGGAGTTTGTTGCTTTTTCCCCTCCCATTGACCCCAAACCTCTCTACAAATAATATTTTATAGTTATACCTACAAATTATATTTATACAGTCCCTGAGGGATGGTATTCGGATATTTTTTCAGAAAGTTTTCTAAGGAAATAATGATGTGAAAATATGTTGGAAATGTCCTAACTTTTCTTTTAAGTTGCTTATATTTTTTATGTTTCATTTTAATATGTCATGTAAAACACATGAAATTAACATTTCTAACATAGAAATTAACATTTCTATAGACAACTGACAGAAAAACTCTCATTTAAATTCAGGAAAGTTAGTTCCCTGAGAAACAGCATCAAGTCACAGATCAAGCTAGTTTTGTATAACTCAATAATATATTTATTTAATACCAGTTGGTAACTCAACTTGGAATTATACTGGAAACCTTAAAATTGAGGTACTAAGAGCCATTATCTGAAAAGGAATAGTTTATACCACTCTTGTTTGTTGTTTACCATTAAGTTCTTGGGTAAGTGTGGTGAAGCAGGTCAGCTGGTAGCACCAATAGGATAATACTTCAACACAAGATTCCCCAATATTCCCAACTTGGGGTGCATTTAATCACAAAATTTTTTCCTACTTCTAGGTCTTACTTATCTCCATCTCATGGTGTCACAGAGCATTTGATCATATTCTCCAGCTAATGGAGCAGGAGATTTAGCAGCTGAAACCTGAGAGGTTAGAGGGAAGGGACAGTAGCACGTGGGAACTCTGGCACTTATTATCCCCTTGATTTCCTTCTGGTGTTCTGTCCGTGGACAGTGGTGGCTGACTCTGGCAGGTGGTCTGATGTACACCTGAGGGTACTCAGCTGGCTCCATTACACTTTGGGTCATAGCAGCAGCAGTATGGCAAAGTCGTAAGTATAGGTGGGCTGCTGGTACTCAGGTTTGCACCACCCTCCCAGCTGTCTCACCCCAGCCTGGTCTCAGCAGAGGCTTGTTGTGAATTACTGAGATTGGTATGACTGTGATCCTCAAGGAAATGTAAAACACCAGAAGATATCTCAGAAGAAGTGTTGAAATAACAGTCAGTGCAGATAATGAAGAACACTGCTCCCAGCAGGAAAATCGAGCACAGGTTGACTCCAGCAAACCTGGAGCTAACGTGTGCTGATAAAGCCATAGCACAACCACTCATTGCAAAGGGCCCTACACTATATTGAGAAGATTGTGGCACACTGTATCTGCCATTTCTCTCCCTGTTAGCTCACTGTGAAAGAGATCGTGCTTGTGCAGGTAAGTATATTTCTAGCAAACACACTTTCTAAGCAAGGAAATTAAAACAGGGAGTGACAGCCTTATCTGACACATATGAAGGTGAATGTAGTCAGGGTTCAATAGAACAAACAATGGATTACTTCATAACAGTGGACTCCTAAGGTATATGAAAGTTCTATCCCCAGATCATTTTTTGGCCAAAGAGGTACCCATAAGAAAGATGCCTTAAGAATGAACAGTCACAGCCCCTTGTTCTCCCTGCTACATGAAGGAGATCCTGGACAGACCACTAGAAAACAGACCTTTGGACTTGTCTGTTTGTGTGAGTGAATGAAAAGTGTGAGGGAGTACGAGTGGGTGAAATCAGTTCACATAGAGATTTGGTGCAACAAAAACATCTTGTAAGAGCTTGCATCTAGTTTTGATCCATTAATGTCCTGATGGTGCTACTGTATACCTACAAGCTCAGTCTGCCTAAGCTTACCTGTGGTTTCTTTTCATTTTCACTGGTCATTCTTAACCAGAATACAATGCAGGATATACATCATGTCAAGCAATGATGATACTTCAGGACCCTAATCATGGTGTGAGTTTATGACCATCAGGAGCTTCAAGAGGGACAAATGTACCTAAGACATTAGTCAAAACAATTACCCAGTATGGGCTGAATCTCTAGAATTCTTGTTTTTTCATAACCTGCACATCATTGGCAGCACGCATGCTGTTTCTTATTACTACATCACAGCGAGAAGTATAAAATAGCAAAAGCTAATATGAAAATGTAATGCGCTTAACTGAGACTCACAGGAACAGAGCATAGTATTTACTGCGTCCTTCACCTAGTGTCAAATTCTCTGTTGTGTTTTCAGAAACAAACGTACAGATCTTTAAATAAAAGTAAATAATAGATAACATCCCAGATGGTAGTCCTATAAATGGATGCCTGTCCTGGTTTATGACTTGAAATTTAATTTCTCACAATCTACTCACTGCAACTAATTGCTGTGTAGAAAAGGCTCATGCTTCAGATACTGCTCATCTCAAAGTCATTTATTTCTCTGGCTAATTTTTGAGTAATTATTTGTTCTTGTAATGCAATCTGCAGTAGGTTTGTATGTCATCTTTCAGTTCTGTTTAGCAAGAATCTCAGCTTTGTTCCTGTTTCTACATGAAATGTTGAGGGAGAAAATTACATTTCTCAATGCAGTTGACTCCTGTGGAGTTATTTAGCTAGATACTAGCTCAAGGTCCTAAATATCTGTTGAAAGCAAATACTATTTACATGTGCAGTTCCTAAACTTAATTTTGTTGTAATTTTAGAAAACATTACTCATTTGAAATTAATATACACAGTGTAGCCAGTCATAAATGTTGCTCCAACATAAGAATGAAATGTAGGGATAAAGCATTGCAATTAGCTTTAAAATTATAATGTTTTTCTTTTTATAACTTACATGATTTCTTTTAAATTCGTTTTCCAGTTATTAAGATTATGGAGATTATGTTCAAGTCTTTCCCCTCATCCATAATACTGAAGTATTTAATTGCGTTTGTTGTTGTTGTTATTGTTGTTTTTAAAGCTCTGATTCTCACTAATTCCTATGACTGCAATAGATGTGATGTAAAGTAGAATACGGGTAACTGCAGGACTTCTGATGAATGCAACAACAGTTAAGTGCTTAAAACATTAAGAAAACTCTGGTATACAAAGAAAGGAGGCAAAAAGAAAAGTAAGGAGCTTTATTCTACTTATCTAGTCTGGATTACAGATCTTTTCACAGTCCAGAGGGTATTGAGTGACATCTGGAGAGACAGATGAAATGTGCTCTTTAGCATCAGAACCTTTTTAGGGTGAAGGAAAAAAAATTCATGCAAGGGTCAGTCTAGAAACTCCTTCCAAGAGGGCAGCTGCAGCACTAGGTTTATTTTAGATGTGGTGCTTTGATGTTCTTGCACCATCAGCTGGCTCCTGCCTGCTCTTTCCTCACCTGGGCAGGGAACAAGGTTGCAGGAAAACCTTGTGTTGCAGGGCCTGGCATAGTCAACTACAGTCTTGGATCAAGGTTATTTTTGTACAATGGTTTTAGCATCATGTGTATACACAAGATATATCATCGTGTATATGCACCATGTGTATAATGCACAATGTTTTATTAATCAGACTGGGAGAGGGATGTCATGCCTTCTGTTGTCTTTGTTTCTCTCCCATTTAAGTAAGAAGGTGTTTTTCTTACTTCGAGGAAATTCAACTGATACTCTTCAATTCAATTAAATCCAATTTAATTTTCACTGTTGGAAAAAGCTAACTGTTCTATTTAAATTTTTATTCTTAATATCATCTTATTCTGTCTTCCAAAACATCAGTTCCAAACTTTTCAAGTATTTTTTTTTATTTTTTGTAAATAATTATTTTGTTTTATTATATTTAACCACATGAAACACATTGCTTTTATTGCTTTTTTTTTTTAATCTTTTAATACCTCTTATGAAGTATTCTTTTTTTTTTTTTTTTTTTGCCTTCTTGCTTGGAAAGCATCTGAATTCAGTGCAGAGTGGTGCTAATATCATCATTATTAAAAAGTTCAGCTATAGAACAGAACTTAAAGTCTTACTGTGCCAAAAAGAAAGATAAATATTGATTTTTTTTTTCTTGAACTTTTGTGGTTTGGGATTCCATATATAACAGTTCTCATCCTCAAGAGGAAAATGTAATATGTGTCATGTCAATGGAACTCAATAATAAAAGGTGAGTGAGGATGAAATGGCTCCAGCCCAGAGGTGTAATTAAGTCTCCAGTCTTCTCCTGTGTGGAAAAGAAATGTGTGTGTGTGTGTGTATATATATATATATTTGCTATATATTAAAGGAAACTGTATGAGGACTTTTGTATTTTAAATTGATTATTAATACTTGATTTATTCTTGACTGGCATTGCCATGGTCCTGATTGAATAACTGAGCATTATTTCTACATCATTTAAAGATGGAACCCTTCTTTGGATCAAAACTAACAATCCTGTATTCATGGACAGTTATTATCTTCAGATATTATGGTCCTTTGCCAGGGAAGTTTGAACACCTGATTCAGACTTTCTAGCTAACACTGTACCCACAAAGCTGTAGGATATTACCAACAAAAGTATGTCTCATCTGCCACCTCATCAAAATTAGGACATTGTGCCCTCAGTTGCTGTCAGAGCTAACACAAGAGCAATATAGCGTAATTGTAGACAATGCATCTAGGAGTGGAAAGATTTTCTGTTCCCAAGACTGCTTTCCATTAGGCCATGATGGTCTAATCTGAAATGAGTAACTAGATTCATATCACCTTACTGAGTCCTAAGTTTCAAATAATCTGTGTTTTTTTTTTTTTTTTTTTTTTTTTTTTTTTTTTTGTCTCAGGTACCTGTGTAACCTGTGTTAGATTTCTTCCAACAAGTTCCTTCTGTAATAAATCCTTGGAAGTGGTATCCATTGTTATGTTAACATGAACTGTAAGGAAACTGCAAGGAGAATAAAAACATACAAAATAATAGCTCAAAAACCATTGACTCATAACTAAGAACCTGACGTGCAAATCCATAAAGATTTGTAGAGGTGATGGAGATCCTGGATCTTGAAAAAGGCAATGCAAATGTCTTACATCCAGATTTTTGAATTTTCTTTTGGAGGATACAAGTGGTCTCTGAGGTTCAATGTTAACTTAAATCAATTTTTAACTGATTATGTGATTTATATGTAAATAAGGTTATAACACTCCATATCAGACTCATGTTGAGAGTTGTCTGTTGTTGCCCTATATGTGTTGTCAGAACTGAAGATATATCTATGTGATGGAGCAGAAGTGCAAAAACTGCTTTCATTTTCAGGCTACTAATTTTTAATATAAAGATTTTGTATTTATAAATGGCAATGCAACATTTGAAAATGGTAATGGATATTAAAGACTGAACATTTCTTAGCAAGGAAGTCTTTCAATAATTTTCTAGTTTATGGAGAAAGTTGATTTTTCCTGGGTTATACCAAAACATTTAACTCTTGTAAGCATGTCTAGAAAAGTAGGAGCTTGCAAGTATGAAAATCTTACAATATAAGTTAAATACAAGTTAAATATGCTTTGATGTGGTGGACCAAGTCCAGGGAGGATTTAAACATAATAATGGAGTAATTTTCACTGCTGCTTCAAATAATACAGTAACCAGGGGGGAAGAAAAAAAAAAAAAAGTCTTGTTTCTTGGAACTTAAAATGGTTACTATGTAAAATGACAAAAATAAACATTTAAATTGGTTCATTGCAGGCATTGTGTCCCTGATCTCTCTGGCTGTCCTGTCCTATGAACGCTATAGCACCCTCACCCTGTGTAACAAGCGCAGTGCTGACTACCGGAAGGCACTGCTAGCGGTTGGAGGTTCGTGGATTTATTCCTTGGTCTGGACTGTGCCACCTCTGATTGGATGGAGCAGTTACGGGATAGAAGGTGCAGGTACCAGCTGTTCAGTTCGCTGGTCCTCTGAGTCAGCTGAGTCCACATCCTATATCATCTGTCTCTTCATATTCTGCTTGGTCATCCCTGTAATGGTCATGATGTACTGCTATGGTCGCCTCCTTTATGCCGTCAAACAGGTAAGCTGCTGTATTCTATCTATAGTGCAAACTGCTTGGAGTCACATGTTATTTTTCCTCTCTACTGAGTTTGGCATAAGTAGATGACAGACAGCAAAACAACAAAGCAAAAATGAATGAAAAAGACCATGGAAAGTCTGAAGGAAAGGGCAGGAGGGTCTTCACCCATCTCCATCATATTTCTGGAGTTCTAAAAAGTCATAAACACCAGATAGCATCAGTAAAGAGTCTGACTTTGTGGTTTGGAAATCTTGCACCATAGGAAAACCAGTATATCTAGGCAATAGTTGGACTTGTAGTAAAGCCAGCATACATGTTTACCTGTCTATAGATAAGACATCTATGTAAAAATTTCTTCCTATTTTTGGATCATGACATTTTATTAATGTCTTCTTCTTAATCTGTGGAGACCAAAATCTACACTAATACAACTCTACTGCAATTTACCAGGGGGTCAACTTCTCCTTGTAGTTCTAGGCCACATAAAAAAATAATAATAATAATAATAAAAATCCTTAAATACTACTGTTACTATCACTACTATTACCACTGGTACTATTACTACTGCAAAATTCCTCTAATGGATTTAAGGTGCAAATATTCCAGAATTAATTTTCAAAAAACCCTGCCAGGTGATGTGGTATTATGAAGTTACTTTCCCTTGGGAAAGTAGTGAAGTTATTTTCTCTTAACAAAATTCTTTAATGATAAATAATGAGAAAGTAATGAGGGTATAGGTGTTCTCTAAAAAATGATTCTCTAAAATGTTCAAATGAATTAAGTAAATGTATTGAATGGAAATTAAAAAAAAAAAAAAAAAAAAAAGGAGGGGGGATGGAGCAGTAAATCCCCGAGGTTTCAGATGGAATTAAAGGGGGTGTAATTCATTTTTGATTATTCATAAGGAATTAAGGTCGTGCCTTTTCCATAATTTGTCAAAATTTTCAGAACCCTTGAAGCCCAAATGGGAAATCTTTTCCTGGTTGAATGCTGAGCCAGTCAGTAAAATCTCTTTGATTAATCACATTTTAGTACTCATCTTAATGCTGTGAAATAGTAATATGGAAAAAATTTCCTTTGATTGTAAACCATTAGAGTGAAGTTTCAGAACATGTCTGGTCCCTGGGCAGCAATATCCTTTATCATCACCTTAAAAAAGGAGTAGGATCTTGGAAGATGTACTGCTAATAATATTCAGAAGATATAACTTTTGTTTCTTCTTTCCTTCAGTCCTTATTACCCTTCCTGACGAGTCATCACCACAACATACAAATACTTTTATGGATTAAGTGCCTGTAGTATGTGTTTTATTTTCTATTTCTAAATGCAGACTTGTGTAATTTTATTCACCTTTTAAATCATTATTATTATTTAAATTAATTCATATTAAAAGTAGTGGTAATCTCACTGATCAGTGATGGTTCTTAGGTTGTGGTGAACATCCTGAGGAAATGAGCTATTATGGAAAAGATATACAATGTAAAGTCATTTTGTATTTAGACTTGAAACCTAGGTAGAATGAGTGGAAGACAAGTTTGATTGATGGATAAACTTCGAAAAGGGGGGAGGGAGGGGGGGGGGGAGAGGGAGAGGGAGAGAGAGAAGGAGAGAGAGAGAGAGGAAGAACAATAATATTTTCTGCAATCCTTTCTCCTCATTTCTACATGTGCTTTCTAGAATGGTCAGAAAGTCTCTGGGACCACTGAGAAATTTTGTGAATACTGGAAGTGAAAAAGAATCAAACCCAATCTTTCACAATCTGTTGTAGGGCAGGTCTTATGGAACTAATGCTTATTAAATGCAAAGGAACTCCACTGAGAATTGGATTTTATGCCTTTCTTAAAGCTGTTATGATCCAGGGTCACAGAAGCTGCCTGAGCATTTGTGAAGTCTTGTACATATGAACACTGGATTTTTACACAAAACATCTAACTCTTTCCTGGATCTTGTAAAAGATTTCCTTTATAAGTTATATTTCAACAATAAGAACCTCAATCAGAAAAATAATCATCAGCCCTCATCTTTCTGTGGTGTATATACCTCTAATATCACATTCATTAAATTTTCCATTTAATAAATTTCCTGTGATATATATATATAAATTTTCATTGATCCTTATGTAGTCTCTGAAATACAGGCTTTCCTTCAGTCTTAGGTCCTTTAACTATTCTGTAATAAACAGGGTAGATTATGAAATGCTAAAGTATGTCATGTTTCAAACTGAAGGAAGAGATGAGATATAGGCAAATAAAAATATAGTACTTATATAAATCTATGTAGAGTTAGTATGGTGATACAAAAAATACTAAGATAGTTTACTACATCCATTGTGATGTTGTTAATTTTTTGGTGTGGGTGAAAACCAAAACAAAATATTCTCTAATATTAAGACTATATTCTTGTCTCATAGCTTAAAAAAGGTTATTCTCTGACCATCTCTGTAATATATTAGATGAAATGTGAGAACGTTGCAAACATAATAAGTTCATTATCCCAGCTTCAGCTGCTTTGTAAACTTTCTAAAATATGCATTACATATTTTTGCAAGATATAAAAAAGTTTATATATGAGCATTGTATTGTTAATGGTATTGAACCCTGAGATCAAGAGTACAGAAGATATTCCATTATTAATACTGTTGTGAAAATTAATTGAGGTGGAAGAAATATCTTAATAGATTTCGGATAGTTAATGCAAGAATTGGCACTGAGCCTGCATTATCTCCTTGTAGGAAACTGTAATTATAGGTCTGCTTTTCTCTTTTCCAAATTTAGTCAGGTGCTGTAGCATTCTGTCATTCAAGGCATTCATAGCTCCTATAAATTCATCTGTACTCTATATAATGGTAACAGGCATAAGTATTTCATTAACACAGGTTTTATAAAAGATCTTCTTTTCAAGGAATAGCAAATCAATATCATCCCTGTATGAATAATGTTAACAGCAAATGCCATGAAATGGTATTACAACATGACTGCGTTATTGCCTCAGAGTTCTTGTTGTTAGTAAAGCTTGAAGACCCTTAGGAATTGCTCAAGATATTTTCTTTTAAGATATGTTTTTTTGTTGTTTTGTTTTGTTTTTTTCCCTCCCCTCAGACTGGCTTTATCTGGATGTCTGAGTCTTGTTCTGCAGATGGTCCTTGCCACCATCCTTGCGCAATGTGTTTGGAAGAGTTGAGAGGTGGCATTGGGTAAACAAGTGGGAAGTGTTAGTTTTGAATAGTGAAAGCTTTTCAAAGGTGTTAAGCAAAGTAATGCTCAAAACAGGGAGACAAAGAAAAAAAGAAAAAGGAAAAAAATGTGGCTTCAGAAGCTGCTAGAGATCTTGGCAGTGTATCAGATTTTAAGATGGACAGAAACATAAATATTTTATTAGACTTTTTTTCCTCTGAGTCCATATTACTCATGCTAATCTTGTTTCCTTTTTCTGAGACCTGGTCTTCCATTGCTGCACATGCTGAAATTCAATTTCTTCTCCAGGTTTTCCTTTAGAGATGATGTGTCTGATGCTTGTAAGTAGAAAGAGGCAAAGTTTTCTCCCTCACAAAATATTATCCATACATTTTTTATTTGTGCACAGTTTTCAAAACAAGGAAAAGAAACTGAGAATGGCTTATTTCTCCTATTGCAATTAGATTTTTTCAGCTCTTGGCTTATGATGTTTCCCTATGACTCTGCCTTCGTGTTCCCACTGGAAAAAATATTCTTTATAAAATCATAGTCAGTTGTTTGCACTTTGAAAAGTGGGATCCCAAACGTGGAATTACAGAGATTAGCGTTGCGATCACTGTAGCACGAAAGGCACAATATGATTAAAAACCTCTACTGAGGCACCCAGAGAACTCATATGAACCAGTCTAATGAAAATTAGTAAAACTTTTAAAAGACTTCTCTACAGTCTGCATTATCTCTCACTTGCACACACATAAAAAAAAAAAAAAAAAAAAAAAAAAAAAAAATCCAGCCCAAGGGCAGGAAGAGTCCCAGAACGCTGTTTCAAGAAAACTTTTCAGATTGATTTTTTGGAGACTCTCATCTTGGCTCATCTAATTGCCAGTCTCTTTCATCAAAAAATGTGCCTGAACAAAGCTCAGAAGGTCTTTATGGAATGTAGCTAGGGCATTGAGAACAATAAAAAGAGTTGTAAGCAGGGCACAAAGACTTAAATATGTAGTGTAATACACATCTGAGCATGCAATTCTTGCTCAGAGCAATAGACCGTGTGTTAAAAAGTGGGCAAAGGGCCAGTGGTCACTGTCCAATTTTAGAGCTAAGTTAAGCAAGGAACACCCACTGTGTTTTTCAAATTGGTTTTGCCTGATTTTCTAAAATCTAGGGTTTTTTTTTGTTTGTTTGTTTGTTTGTTTTTGAAGCATATTAGATCTAACCTTTTAACAGAGAAGTTGTAGGCTCACTAAAGATGGGGTTCTGGAACAGAAGGATTTGTGACCTGAACTGGTAGTTATGCTGTGTTTTCTTTTTATGTTCCCTTAAGATCAGTGAGGAAAAGTAGAGATGAAAGATATTTTTAACATGTTTTGATATCATTACCTCTTTTCTACTTTGAAATTTTATATGGTGAAAAGTTATTTTTTATTTGTTGACTAAAAAAAAAAAAAAATCCATGAAAATTTAAAGAATAACCCACTTGAGGAAGAAGATTGCCTTACCAGTATGCCTTGCCCTCCACCCATGTGGTGCATCTACTAACATTTAATTCCTCAGAGACAGTGACCAAATCATAGGTTCAGGTAGTGGAATTACCTATTTTTCTTTACAACTACTTTATTTTCATTTATTTTGAAAAGTGCCATGTGATTTCTGATTTCCAGGTGTCATAGGAGAATCAGATCTTCTTATTTTATTCCATTTCCTGACCTTCCAGAGTCTTGTCACCTTGTAAAGGAACAAATACAGTTAGGGCTATGCTGGAGAAAGAGGCCTGGTCCTTTCTCTTTTACTCCTTTTCTAGACTTCATGTTACTGAATTTAATGGAA